TCGAAACGCTTTTCTTTGTAAGTCTGCTTACATTGATATGACACGAGTGTAATTGATGGTCTCGCCCTCAGATTTACAGCTTCTTTCGCCACTTTCTCAGAACTTGTTAACGACGAACACACAAGAACGTTCCTTGCAATGGAAGTTGGCGCAGGACATCACGAAGTAATTTATAAATTACGCTAGACGTATAAGTAGTGACTGATTTTGGAGTCGCTAGCTTCAAGACATTGTCAACGCATTGGCTCCGACACTACATGCCATCCGACAAAAGGATTACTACTCAGACCCCCGATTTCACGCGTCTATCGGATGGGCTCTTCTTCATGCCTCCTCGACCGTTCGGAATTCGACGATTGCCGATGACATTTCCTTATTGCCTGAGAGCATCCCGACGCGCCTGGAAACTAACGACTCCCCAAGGTCATCTACCGAAAAATTCACCACGATTTCTCACCTTCCCAAAAATCTGATTACCGAGCTCAATGAGCTGTATGGCGCAAGGTTGTCCTCAGCCAAAACAGGAAGTTTCGATGTCGACAGGATTACTGTGAAAATCGGGAAGGACATTTACTCCTGGCGCTTCTCGGGAACGTGATCTGAATTACCCAAAAAAATTATGAGTGACACAGCTTTTGTAGCCCTTGTAACATAAGATTCTTCCTTTCAACTAATAGGATCCTTTTTTGTCATTTGCGAATTAACGGCTTCTCCGTTTCTCCACATTTGATCCCTTGAGGTCATCCCTGTTTTGCGCAGTTATCTTATATCTTACTCTCATCTTCCTTTCCCTTGAATTCTGGAGTAGGAATAAAGGAGTTGACTGAGGAAAAAATTAAGTTGCGCGACACCATTCACGTAGAACTGTGACACATATGCATTTAGTTTCCACATGTTCTACCGTGTTCCCCATTCAGACGTCGTATGTGATTGAATGAAACGCTTCTGATAATCTGTAAAGAGACGACGCCTGAACACAGATGGGGAAGATCATCGTTGAATACTAGTGTCCATCCATACTGTCAACCTGGGAGAGTAGCGCAACAGCCCCTTGTGACCGGGGCTTGACACTGTATTGGAATGGCTTTGGCCGACTACGAAGTTGCAACATGAGTATTCAACAGAGGGTCGAGGAATGAATCATTTTTACCTTGTAAAAGAACTATCGAAGACAGCTTCTGGTGTTATTTCATCACCAAATTTGTCAACCGCTTTGGTCAGAGAAAGTGTCGAAAGGATTGTAGCCATTGCAATCCATAAACTGGAATCACCTAGGTGGCGGCCGGGACATATTCTGACCAATAGCAGTTCAAAACTTGATTGAAATATACACTTAGAAACATACCTGCGACCAAAGCCCCACAGAGCACTAGTACGAGGTTCCCCGCGACCCAATGGTGCTGGAAGGTATCGGCTCGGTTCAAAGCTAAAAGGATTCGCATAAAGTCTCTCATCCCAGGTTATTCCCCTTGTCACAGCGGCAACAGTAAGAATTATTATTGTAAACACCGGGCAAGTCTAACATACCTGATATTTGGGACAACGATGGAGCCTTCAGGGATAAACATCCCGTTATAAACATCATCGCCGGTAGCTTGACGAGGTAAGCCTTGTGTTGCGTAATGAAGTCAGAATGAAGGCCCTAGAAGAATGTTCAATCATTTTCACCTGCTGGGAGCGGATGATGCCACCTGAAGGAACCAACGAAACTGCTTCAATAGACTGCACTTTGCAGAAATGTGGACTTGACTGACCTCAGAGTCTCGTGTAGAATACATTCAAGATAAGGAAGATTATCACGATCACTGAAATCAGGAAGGCGTTGAGAGCCAACCACCGCATCCAGCTCAGCTTGGGCTTTGGCTTGACATTCAGGATGAAGTATCATTGCCAGAATGAAGATAAGGAGTGAAGCAGAGGTCTGAAGTGATCAATCAGTTAGAGTCGTGGACATATATTGGATACCTACTGTCTCGCCACCGGCGAAGTAGCTGATGGATGCAGCAGCTTTAATGTCCTGAATGTTGCCTGTGCTATGTCCACCATCACGTTCTAATGCGTCCAACTGGGCCGCCACAACAGATGGTTTAGCAGTCCCGTCACTCTGTCAGACACCTTATCAGCAATCCGACTGACACATCCCGGATTTTTAGAGCACTACCATTTGGCGTTGCACCTGTTGGACGGGAAGGTCGTGCATATCCTTAACTACAGGTGCCCACTTTCTTGCGTGGTTGATGTAATAAGTGCCAGGGAACCAAGATGGAAGGTATGTAACTGTGGAAAAGTATAGTTAGTGAAAGGCGGTAAGAAAATCATGATAAACTGGCTCACGAAACGGGAAAAAATCTATCACAGTACCGCCAGGGGCACTGGCTACCGAAATGGCTTGACCAACTTCACGACCAAGTTTTACAAAGGGATCCTCGTCCGATGTAACATGGTGTCCGTACAAGACTTGCATGATCACTGCTGTAGCAAATCTAAATAGTTGGAACCTTAGCGACATAGTTGCCAGAACACCATCAAGAAGCAAACCTAACAACCGCATTGTCTTTGCTTCCTGGATTATCTATGAGATTTTGGGCGAGTATGCGTGCCTCTGTGACTTGTACCGTATTGTACTCTCTGATTTTCGCCTTGTTGAAGTGTTGTTGGAACATGCGTCGGTGGAGTTGAAACCTCTTCCCGTATCTTAGTAGCGGCAAGGCGAGCGACCATCCCATACTACAAACTTCTTAGAGGGCAGAGTAAGACTACAAAGCGCGCAAATACACACCAGTCAAACACTCGATGATATATCCTGTCACTATAATTAGCGCTTCTCTTCTCCGTTAGATCAATAGCAGCTTGGAGGCTGTTAACGATGATCATCGTGCGACCCAGGACATTGACATGAGATACATCGCCTGCAAATGTTGAGCATGGATTAACTAACATCAAATATGCAATTTGCGGAGAATCACGCACCGTAAGTTTTACCAAGCTCGTAGAAGAACAAGTGATGATCTGAATCAGGTATGCCTCTGACGTTTCCAATGAGTGGATCTGGACGTGGCCCTGGAGGCAAAGGAATGCGGTTCTTCTTCTTCTTCGCGTCAGTGTATATGAATACGACGTTCAAAAGAACTGCGAGGCACGCGATGGTGTACAAGGAGACGGAAGGAAATGGCATCTTGCAAGCATGGTACGCGTTGATGTATCAATCAATATATAGGGAAATATTGGTGGGAATTTGTGCTGAATTACCACAGAGCCCGCTGTCCCAAAAGAGCTAAGACGAAGTGGCCCACTGATGGATCTGTCACTTCCCTGCGCCAAACCCTTCCGACTCTCGGCATAGAGGACTGCCCGTTTTCAATGAACACATGTAGCGATTTACCGCCTCCAAAAACAGGCTTTTATCTTGCACATGGGGCGATATGGTGCAGTATCGTCTTCAACCTGAGATAGATAATGTACCTTGGGTTCGCCAAATATATAGTCGTCGCTTATCCACCTTTGAGTATTCCGCGCCATTGAATTGGTTGACGACATTGACTATACGAGGATCGAGGCGGCTGAGCAGCTTTGGTGGTCGTGGAAAAAGCAGAATGAGGAGTCCTCATTCTGCTTAACCAAGTTGCTCCAAAAATGGCATGGTATCGGTACCACAGTAGAACAGTGGAGTTGGAAGGACTCGATCATAATTTGCGTGCACTAGGGGCAACATTGCACTTCAAGTAGCGATTGGCTCCAGGTCGGAGTGGATTAGAAGGCAGTTTTGAGGTTGATTTGAGAACAGTCAAATCTGCCACGAAATCTAATCAGCAGTCGAAAGCTCAGCACATTAAGCGGAGTCTCAAGTTTGCATCTAATCTCGGATGCAGTAGAGCCTTCGTCAGTCTGGCGCCTCGGGCACGTATGAAACCCATTTGCGCATGAAGCCTAGCTCAAAACCGTTGAAGGAGCAGCATTGGGGTGAATTTCTGCGACATTTCAACTCATGGATACTACTGATGCTCAAATATCTGCTTATCTTGCCAGTGGTGTCAACTTCCAAGAGAGTCACGGATTTGTGGGTTCCCGAAAACTCCCAAAGCCAGTTTTGGATAGTCCTAAAACTTGGGACATCTAGTATCTGAAATCTTCTTTCCCTTTTCCCGTCGCTGTCGCAAAAAAATTCGTCCTCTTCATGGACGGTGCAACCCTAGTTACAAGCCTTGTTCCACATGAAAGGGCACATGGTACTGGCCCCAGTGGTGTAGTTGGTCATCACGCCCACTCAGCATTCGCAATACCATACCATTTGCGGCCAGTCCCCGGTCTGATTCCGGGTGTGTCCATTTGCAAAATCTTGTGTGTAAGTGGCTTTTTCTTTTCTACATCACCAGGCGCTATTGAAAATTGACACTGAAATCGGCTAAATTTGAATTGTAGCCAGACATGGCTTATAGCCCAAGGTAGCAGTCGCCGGTAGTACTCCCTGGTTTTATACAAAACGGCTGTTCAAGCTTTCGTGCCACCTTACTATCAACATGAGCTTTAGCACCAATTTTTCATCCCAGCTGCGAGTGTTTCTGGGTGCTCAATTCTAGATGTGTGCATCTGCTATGGCTGTTTTTTGTTTTTATTTTTGATAATAGCTCTGCTCTAGATCTGCAGCACGGTGATATAGCCAATAATCTAGACAAGCGCTAGATTTCACTAGTGGGGCGCATGGTGTACATGGTCACCAAGACTGCCCCACACTGCAGATGGCGAGATATAGGTAGTCCCTTGTTTGACTCCAGGGATGCTCATACTTATGCGTGCCAAGTTTTTTAAAAAACAAAATCTCGCTGTTCCCCCAGACTGAGCCATTCTGGTCATGGTGTGTACTCGAGCACATACTTATATGATACTAGGCAGCTGCGCTGCGCCACATCAACAAATTACTCAAGTTTCCTTTCGGATTCTTTCCCTTTCCTATTTTTCATTCTCAGATTGCACAGTGTACCTAGTTGGCCCTTACACCAGCAGGGCACATAGTGGAGTCGGTAATCACGCCTGCTCATCATGCAGCAGGGATTGCGCGGGCAGCCACTGGTTCAACTCCGGGCGTGTCCACTAGCTGGCATTTGCATTCAGTAATTGAAATTCCTTTTTTCTTTGCCCTCCTTTGCAGTCATACAACCCCAGATCTATCATCCAGTCTTTTCATCACGCTGCATCCGTTTTCATGCCATTCCTGTCATGAAAGTAGTCCTTTGAAAATAATAAAAATAACAATGTTTACAACCTGAACCGCTCTGGTCATGATATATATGCTCCACAGAGGCAGCTGCACATGCATTGCACTGGCACGTTAACAAGTCATTTCCGCACTCTAGTTGGTGCCCATGTGCACTGCTATAAACCAGCGCTCGATTCCACTAGCACTGTAGTAGGGCACATAGTGTACTTGGTCACTGTGACTCGCCTGCTCCACAGCGTAGACATCGAGGCAGTCTCTGGTTCGACTCTGGGGATGAGGATGATCATGCGAACAGCGTGATAGAGGTTTTTAAATCACGCTATTCCCCCAGGCTGGTCATATGTACTTGACCAAGTACATGGGCAGCTGCACTGCGCCACATCACTGCGTTATTACCCACACTCAAGATTTCCCTTCTTTCCTATTTTTTTCTTTCTCGACCCTCAGAGGTCCGTCACACAGTGTACCTGGTCAATGAGATTGATAATGTGCCTTTGCATTAGCAGGGCACACAGTATAGCGGGTTATTGAGTATCTGTGTCTGCAGCTGAGGAGGGGATTTGGCTGATGCTTGCGCGTGCAGGCCCTGGTTCGATTCCGGGCGTGTGCACTTAACCACTTGTAAATATCCTTTTCTTCCTCCTCCTCTGCTAACTTTTGTCCCTACCACGTGCACTGCACTGCCGGGGTTCAGTACTCAGTACTTACTGGTTCAGAGCACACTGGTTTTTGTACGCGCGCAAGATAGTGAAAATAGGCGCCGTTCAACCTACAAGTTATAGAAATAACTCCTTTGGGGTGTGGCAAGCCGGTTCTTGGAGCAAAGAGATGGTATTGTGACACTATGTACACGTCCAGAGCTCGAGTGTCTAGATTCAGGCACACTGCGCCACACCACTCACGGGGTATCAACTTGCGGCGGTGCCAAGACCAGAGCGATATTACGCCCGCTCCCCGTCGCCTGGTCAAACAAATTGACAGCCTCGATCGTACACGCTGCCAAAAAGTCATCCTCACCGTACTTCTGCCGCCGCGCCTGGAGCTCCTCCTTGATCCACTGCACACGGTCGAGCACGATATAACTCTCAACGACAGGACCAAGTAGACAGCGGCGGACATGCAGCGCAGACAAGCGCTCCTGCAGCTCAGGGAACGGCGGCTCCCGCTGGCAGGGGTCATGCGGAAAGTCGACGCCGAGGCGCTCACGGGCGCGGGCGAGAAAGGTCGGCCAGTCGGCGTACGCGGCGTCGGGGAGGCGGCCGAGGCGGCGCAGGGCGGGGGTGCTGCCTGTCTCGGTGGGGAGCTGGCGCGCGGCGGGGTGGATGCGCGGGAGGAGCGCGCGCCAGACGACTTTGCGCGTCGCGAGGTCCATGCGGGCGCGCGCGGCGGGGGAGTCGTCCCAGTGGTCGGGCACCTGTGCGGCGAGCTGGTACGCGGAGGCGGGGAGCGGGTGGGGGAGGGGTGTGGGGTGCGTGCGGAGGTGGGCGGAGAGGGGAAAGTCGGCGGGCGGGTGCATGAGGTTGTAGCAGCAGCCGACGGCGATGGCGAACGTGGGGCGCCAGGGGTGGGTCGCGGGCAGGGAGAGGAGGGCGCGGAAGAGGTCGGGGGTGAGCGGGCCGCAGGCGTGGAGGGCGACGAGGAGGAGGCGGTAGGGCCCCGGGCCGGTGGTGGGGAGCCAGTCATCGATGGCAGCGAGGAGGACGGCGGGGGTGAGGTGGATGGTGCGGTGGGTGATGGCGGAGATGGCAGGGCCGGCGCGGGCCTGGGCGCCGTGGGTCTGGACCTGGTCAGAGTCGAGAGCGAGTGTGGGAGCGTGGAAGTGGGCGTGGAGGGCGCGGGTGAGGTAGCCTTGGCCTGCGCCGACATCGATGATCCGAAGTGAAGCGCTGGGAGGGACGCGATCGGCAATATACTGGGTCATGCGCTCGACTTCGTGGTGCTTTTTAGGGGACATGCCGAAGAGTGGCTGCGGGATGGATATGGGGAGGTGGATGGGTGGACGAGGAAGCTGTGCGGCGCGGATGGCTGGGACGAGGCCGGGGTCGTCGGTGTCTCCGAAGACATGGATCTGGTCTGCTTGAGGATCGTTGGGGTGGATGGCGAGCAGGGTCTGGAGGGTCGGATTCAAAAGTAGATCGTGGATGGATGACAGCATGGACGCTCGGGGTGCTCGGACACGGGCAGCTCGGAGTGGGAATGGGTAATATGGAATAGACGGCGACGACGATGATCGTTTCCCATCCGCTATGCTGCTGCTCTGTGCCCTCTGTGCGGGCCTCGCCTTTGTCCTCTTCTTCTTCTTCGTCGTCCCCTTCCTCCGCCTTGTCCTGCGCTGGCGCGCCTCTCCTCTCCGCCATCTCCCCGGCCCTCCATGTCCGTCCCGCTTCATCGGTAACCTCGGCGAGATGCACGACCAGGAAAACACCAATCTGCTCGCCACCTGGGAGCACGCCTACGGCCCCACCTTTGTCTACCGCGGCTTCATCGGCGCCCCACGCCTCATGACCACCGACCCCGTCGCCATCGCCCACATCCTCCACCATGCCTACGCCTACCCAAAGCCAGACTTTGTCCGCGACAGTCTCGCCACCATGGCTGCAGGCCACGACGGCCTCCTCACCACCGAAGGCGATCAGCACAGGAAGCAACGCCGCATCATCGCACCCGCCTTTTCCAAGCTCCATCTCGACAGCCTCACCCCCATCTTCTGGGACAAGGCCGTCCAGGTGCGCTCCCATCCGTGTTTCCTCTCTCCCGCTGACTCTTTCCCAGCTGCGTGACCTCTGCCTCCAGCAAGCAGATGCCCACGATGACGCTCCGCGTATCGATGTCCTCAGCTGGCTAGCACGCGCGACTCTCGACGTCATCGGCGAAGCAGGTCAGTGTCCCTTTGCTATCGATTGGCTTCTACCAACACCTATATACGTACAGGCTTCGGCTACCGCTTCGACGCGCTCTCCTCCCAGGCGACACACAACGAGCTCTCCGCCGCCTTTGCCGTCATCTTCTCCACCGCACGCAAGTTCCGCGTCATGACCATCCTCCAGGCCTGGTTCCCCGTCCTCCGCCGTTTCGTGAGTTTCATCTCCTCACACATCCCTGCCCGGTCACACGCGGCCGCAGCATCCCACTGACCTCCATCAAGCGCAGAAATAACGCGACCATGCGCCAGGCACACGCGACCATGGAACGCATCGGCCTCCAACTCATCGACCAAAAGCGCACCGAGATCCTCGCAGACGCCTCGTCTTCCAAAACAGCATCCGCTTCCACACCGCGCACGCGTGATCTCCTCGGCCTACTCAGTGCGTCTAATCCTGTCATGCCCACAATGTACACTAACAAACACGCGTAGTCCGCTCCAACCTATCTTCCGCGTCCGCATCCGTCTCTCCGCACGAGAAACCTCATGCAGCGCCCCCCGCGCCGCTGAACACGCGCGAGGTGCTGTCCCAGATCTCCACGTTCATCGCAGCGGGGCACGAGACCTCCGCGTCCGCGCTCACCTGGTGCCTGTACGCGCTCGCACGCGACACCGCGTCCCAGGCCCGGCTGCGCGCCGAGCTGCGGCGTCTTGCCCTTGAGCACGAGCGGGAAAAGGAACAAGAGCGAGAGGAACAAGCACAAGATGAGCACGAGCAAGTACAAGGGAGCGGCGGCGAGGGGGATGGCGATGGCGATGCACTGGCGGCGCGTGTGCAGGCGTGCACGTACCTCGACTGGGTCGTGCGCGAGGCGCTGAGGATGCATGCGCCCGTCACGTCTACCATGCGCGTGTGTGCGCGCCCTGGTGGGGACGTTGTGCCGCTCTCTGTGCCCGTCCGTGCCGGTGCGGGCAAGCAGGAAAAGGAGCACGTCCAGGGGACTGGAAGTGGGAGTGGGGAGTGGAGTGTACGTGTTGCGGAGGGCGATATTATTACGATACCGATACAGGCTGTGAATCGGTGTACGAGGCTGTGGGGCGCGGATGCGGGCGAGTTTCGGTGCGTTTGGTTTTTTTTTTTCGATATACTCGACAACACTGACGCCGTCTCCTCCAGGCCGGAACGCTGGGCGGACCTCCCCGCGGGCGCGCGCAGTATCCCGGGGCTGCTGTCTGGCATGCTGACGTTCTTGAATGGGAATGGAAGCGTTGGCGCGGGGAATCGGGCGTGTATCGGGTGGCGGTTTGCGTTGGCTGAGTGAGTCCTCCTTTTCTTTTTCTTTTTGTCTATTTCGTTTCGTGGTTGTGGCCATCATCCGAACTGGACCACAACGAACGACTCTCATGTCATTTACCTTGGCTTTTGTTGTCACTGCACCTGCATACTGACCGAACCGTTTCTGCAGGATCAAGATCTTCCTGTATGTCCTTGTGAAGGACATGGAGTTCTGGATAGACGACGGCATGGTCATCGAGAAACGTATAAAGTAAGTCCCTTTTCCTTGTCCTTTTCACAATTCTTTTTGTTCTTCGTTTCTTTGTTCTTTGTTCTTGCCCTCCGCTGCCCTGTGCCTTGCCAGCGGCCTTTTTGTCTTGCCGTTGTTCTGCATGACTTCTTATCCTGCTCGTTTGTTCTATTCTTTTTCTTTTGTTTCTACATTTGCATTGCTTTCCTGCAGTGCCAGTGATGGACATCTCTCCCTCACACTCACACTCGATCGCCCCCTTCACCTCCACCGGGACCCGGGGATTGTGGTTCTTCTTGACCCTAAGCCCTTGTCCGAGCCTGCTTCAAGCTCAAGTTCCTCGGTCTCGCCTTTCGAAACCTCCAGCTTGGGCTTCTCGTTCACGCTCGCATCCCGTGACTTCTGCACACCTCGGCATGAAACATCCCCGAGTGCCGGACCTCACCCTCGGTCCACGGGTCTGGCTTGAGCCGGAGGCCGTTAG